CGAAAGTCATATCGAATCTCGAAAGTCATATCGAATCTCGAAAGTCATATCGAATCTCGAAAGTCATATCGAATCTCGAAAGTCTTCTCGAATCTCGAAAGTCATATCGAAACTCTAAAGTCATATCGAAATCTGAATTGAAATTCATCAAAAATCCAAAGGTCTGAATACAATAGTTTTAATGAAAATTCAATACTTTCTACCTAAAAAAAATGAATTTTCTTAAAAGTTAATAGTCAAATAATAAATATAAACATAAAAAATTTTTCTTTATAAATAAAATTTATTTATAGTGCTTTTCAAATTACTGTAAAACTTTAATATTATATATGTAATAGATAACACACACACACACATACACATACACATATATTAGTTTATATTTATATGCTAAACTTATCACAGGCTTATAGTTTCTGTGTGGTGTTTGGTAAATAAAATTTAGTGATCATAGTAATCTGAAAAGCACTCTAAATAAAAATTATAAATATAAATTACTGTTACTAATTATATTGTACTGTACATATAGGTAAACAATTTTATAATGATTTAACATGAGTAATTAGATAAATAAAAATAATTATCAAATTTAGATTAATTATTTATGTAATAATATATAATAATTAGTAAAATTGAATTGTATAATTTTATTCAATTAGTTAATTGTATTTCTTAGCTATAAATTGTTTAAAAAATACTTTAGAACTATTTTTAAAACTATATAATAATTATAATTAATAATTGTATTTGATTAGTTAATTGTTTCTTAGCTATAAAATTGTTTATCAAACTACTTTTTTTTAATAATTTTAATTATCAATTCTATTATATTATTTAAAAGTTAATAATTATAATATTCTTATTAAAAATATTTATCTATATGTAATTAGTATTTAATTACTAATTTCTGCTATTGATAATTTAATTTAAAAGATTAGTAGCATAGCTTTAGATATAACAAAAATACTTATACTATACTAAATTGCTTATAAATTACTTATTTGTATAATTATTTATAAATTATATATATATATATCTAATTATAATATAATTTTTTGTTATAATTTAATTAATTTGTTTTAATTAAATTTTTTTGTCTATATAAGTATTTAATAATTTTTATATTTATAATTTTATAATAAATTTTATTTATAATATATATATTTATTACATTAATATAAATAACTAAGAAAAAAAAAACCTTAATTTATAATATAAGGAAAAAATCTTAATTATCTATAAAAATGTAAATAAAAATAGTTAATAAATATTAATTATTCTTTATAATTTTTTAAATTTTGTTGCCGAAATTTAAATTTTTTTGGTAATGTTTCTTCTAATTCAGATTGTGAAGAGCCATCTTCCTTATTACTACTATTTGATCTATCCTCAATAGTATTTTGTCTATTTAAAATTTCATGTTCAATTTCAGTTTCATCAAATTCATTATTTTCAAAAAATCTTTCTACTACACTTATAGGATTGTAATTATTATTTTCAATAATTTCAATTTCATTATTCTGACTAGATCTATTTAATATAATTTCACTATCAATCATATTTAAATTCATAATTTCTTCTATTTCAAATTTATCATTTTTATGTATTTCTTCCCATATATTAAATTCATCATCATTATAATCTAAAATTTCTTCTTCATTATCTTCATCATCATTATTATCTTCATCTTCAATAAAATTTTCATTTAAATTTATTTCAAATATATTAATCATTTCTTCTAATTCTTTTTGAGATTTATTCTTTCCATAATTAGACAATAATTTTTTAGAATTAGAATTATAATAACAATATAATTTAGCCATATCTTCTAATTTTTCTAATCCTAAATTTTGTCTATTTTTTCCATAGAACCATCCTAATGTTGAGAATATTCTTTCACAACTAGCAGAATAAGGTGTAATAGCTAATATTTTAAGAGCTAATTGTTGAAGATAATAATTATTATTTTCATCATCATTATCAAGATAACATGTTAACCACCAATTAATTGGATTTCCATTAATACTATAATATTGAGCATTATAAGGAAATAAATTTAATTGATAATTTCGTATTTGTTCTAAAAGAATAGTACATGAATTTTCAGATTTGCCAATATTTTTCCAAAATAATACAGCTGTTTCAGCAATTTTACGAAATTGTGATTTTTTAATTCCTTTTCTTATAAAATTATAAAAAATAATTAATAATTAATTAATTATTTATTTGAAATATTTAGTTACCTCTATAATAAGGATGTAAAAAATATGCTAACAAATATTCATTACATTCAAATTCTAACCATCGACTATTAAATATAGCTATACAATAATTATAAAAATTATAATAATATTGCTTAGAAATATTTTTAATTGAAATAGCAAGTTTAACTAAATAAAAATAACAATCAGCAAGACTACTTGTATCAGCCTCTAAAATACAAATAGCTTCTTTAATTGGTTTTAAAATCTCATTAAGCTTTCTAAGATCATCAAAAAAAGTACGTCCACAAAGAATATTTTTAATTGAATTATTTGTAAATATTGAATCATGTTGAGCAATAATCTAATATTTAAATTATAAATTTTAATAAATTAATAATAATATTTGATATTTTATAATATTTTAATAATATTTATTAAATAAATTATTAATTTTATTAATTGAATTATTAATATTTAATAATATATTTAATAAATTTTTATTAATTAAATAATATTAATTATAAATTATTTTATATTTTATATTAATATTTTATAATTTTATAAATTATTATTAAATTATAAATATAATTAAAATATAATTTTAAAAATTATAAATAATTTAGTAATATAGTAAAAATTACTTATTACTAATTAAAATAATATAAAGTAATAAATTATACTTACTAATTGAAAGCATGGATATAAATTAATAACAGATGTAACTGTTTTATACATTGATGTCCATCTTGTTTTACAATATTTTTTTAATCCTCCACCTTGAATATTCATTTGCTTAATTTGTGTTTCAAGAAGTGCATGAGGAATATGAGAATTATTAAAAAATTTAACAATTTTGTTACATTTTTTAATAAGTTTAGTACAAAAATCATGTGAAAGAATATCTTTAGAAATTAAATTGATGCAATGAGCTATGCATCTAAGATTAAAAATATAAGGATATGATTGAACTACAATATCTCTTGCTAATCTTATATTTGAACCATTGTCAGTAACAATAGCTACAAATTTTTTTTCTCCAATTTCTGATATAATTTTAATAATTTGTTCTGCTAAAAATTGTCCAGTATGTCTATCTGATGAAAAATCTAATAATTTATATAAATATTTTTTTCTATCAGATGTAAGTATAACAAAATTCTATATTGACTTTTTATTAGGACTTGTCTATCCATCTAAAGCTAAATAAAATAATTTAATTTTTATTAAATAATATAAATAAAATATTAAATGTTTTTAAAATATTTTAATTATAATTTAAATTATAAAAATAAAATATTAAATGTTTTTAAAAGATTTTAATTATAATTTAAATTATAAAAATATTATTTAATATAAAATATAATATTAAATATTATTTAATATAAAATAACAGATTATATTTTATAATTTAATAATAAAAATTTTAAAAATTTAAATTTATTAATTAATATTTAATTAATATAATTACCAAGTGTTAAATTTTTTTCATTATCTAATTGTTGCTCAATTTTTTGATTAATATTTGCAATTTCTTGATCTAAAAATGAACCAGATAATAATTCTCTAGATGGTGGTAAATATACTGATCGTAATTCTTGTAATAACTCTATCATAAATGGATTTTCTATAATAACAAAAGCGATACTACACATTACCCATGCTCTAAGTAATGCTTTATTAATATTATTTTTTCGCTCAGTAGTTAATGTTGTACTTTCATAAAAAGTTGCAAGTGTTTGTTGTGATGAAGTATTAGATTTTTTACGCTTATTTTTAGACAAATTTTTTGTTGTAATTAAATTTAAATAAAAGCGACGAATATCTCTTGTTGCACTAGGACAATGATTTGCAATATGTGTTTCAATTTCTTTTGGTCTAGCAAAGTTCCAATATTTACCACATTTGCATGTAGCTGAATAACGTCCTGAAGATATTTTTTCACCTTTATTAACATAGTTCCAAATTTCTGAAGGAGGACGACCTGATTGTGAATTTGATTCTAAAATATCAATTTGAGTACCTTCAGAACTATTTGTTTGTATATCATCTAAAGTATTTGTTTGATTATTATCTGTACTAAAACTTGACATAGGAGAAAATGAAGAAGAAGTAACTTCAGAAGTAGCTTCTAAATTATTTGCCATTTAACTAAATATATATAATAAAAAATATATAAAATTAAATTAAAAAAATTATTAAATTTAATAAAATAATAATAAAGATAATAAAAAAATAATTGCAATTAAATAAATAAAAGTTAAATGAGTAAAAGATGCTCCGGAACCAGTTTTATATTAAGTAAATCTATTTTTTGGCTTTAATGAAAGTTGTTCTTCAGATCGAGATGATTCTAATGGTTGTAAAATCATCAAAATTGGTCCAGTAGTTCGCCTGCAATACCTCTTCAAAGTTTTGCAACGTTTGTTTACATAATTTGTAAACAAAGATAACAAACGTTGCAAAACTTTGAAGAAGCATTGCGAGCGAACTACTGGACCATTTTTAATGATTTTACCACCATTAGAATCATCTCGATCTGAAGAACAACTTTAGCTAAAGCCAAATAATAGGTTTACTTAATATAAAATCTAGTTCCAGAGACTTTTTTATTCTTATTATAAATAAATATTTATTACAATTAAATAAAAAAAAGTTAAATGAGTAAAAAGAGCTTCGGAACCAATTTTATATTAAGTAAATCTATTTTTTGGCTTTAGCTAAAGTTGTTCTTCAGATCGTAGTGATTCTAATGATAGTGAAATCATCAAAAACGGTCCAGTAGTTCGCCTGCAATGCCTCTTCAAAGTTTTGCAACGTTTATTATCTTTGTTTACACAATCTGTAAACAAAGATAACAAATGTTATAAAGCTTTGAAGAGGCATTGTGAGAAAACTACTGGACCGTTTTTGATGATTTTACTACCAATAGAATCGTCTCAATCTGAAGAACAACTTTTGCTAAAGCCAAAAAATAGGTTTACTTAATATCAAATCTAGTTCCGGAGCACTTTTTTATTCTTATTATAAATAAATATTTATTATAGTTAGCGATGCAAATTTAATTCTTGTTTCGAAATAATGCACAGGTGGGCGTTATTTCGCACTTGTGCAGTATGTCTAATTTTTCTTTCAATGATTTTAAAAATATAAAACATTTAACAAATAAAAGTTACCAAATTTTTTTTTAAAAACTTCTTCAATTTGCAACAAAAACACTAAAAAGACAGTTCGCAAAAAATTTTTTCAAAATGTAGATTACAATTTTATTTAAATAAATACGTTTAATAATAATAAAATTTACAAAGGAAATTCGAGAACCTTGCATTTAACTACATTATCTTACTATTATTATAGATAAATTATCTTGTTATTTTGGTCAACTACATTAACGTTAAACTTTAAATTTTAACTTAAAAAAAAATTTTTTGAAAAATTAGTATATTTATCTTATCGTGCTGCAGCAAATTATAAATTAAACATAGTGATACGTAGATAATTTACTATTTTGGTCAACTGTATTAAATCTTAATTTCTATATTTTTTGCACACAGTAGATAATGATAAATAATTTATTATATTGTTCAACTGCATTAAACCTTAATTTTTATAATTTTTAAAGTATTTCGGCGTTAGTATATAAATAAAAATTACACAATGCATAAACCTGAATTCAATAATACTTAACTTTCGGCAATACTTTGCCTTTTTGCCTTTAATAGGGGATATCTAAAGCAAGGTTCGTTAGGGTTAGTTTTTTTGATGCATTTAGTAGGTTTATTTATATATAGATATCAAGAATGTAATTTATGTAATATGTAGATCAATATGTAAACATTAGCGACCTCCTTTAATGGACTTTTGAAATTCGAGAAGACTTTTGAGATTCGATAAGACTTTCGAGATTCGAGAAGACTTTCGAGATTCGAGAAGACTTTCGAAATTCAAGAAGACTTTCGAGATTCGATAACACTTTCGATATCGATATCGATATTTCGACACTATGAGATTTATCGAAATAGTTTCGACATGCCAAAATACTTTCGATAAGCATCCTTAGTCAGGTCAAATATTATATTAATTATAGAATATAATATAATATACAGTCAGGTAGGGGTGGGAGGAGGACTCTATAGTAAATTGAAATCACCTGATTTCTGTTCCTCCCCTTAGTTAGTAAACCTCAAGTACATTGTAAAGGGCCAGCGTAACCTTCCGGCCATCGACCTATTTTTTTTTTTTTTTGTTTATATTATATTATAATTATTATTATTTATTTTTATTTCAATATGTATAACCTTTTGGGTAAAAGATTTACTAATCAAAGTTTCTTAATGTAGATTATTACCTGTAAACTGTAGGAAACTTGTTATGTTAATATATTAAATTCGATTTATCGAATTTATCAAATTTATCGAATTTATTGAATATATCCGATTTATCCAATTTATCGCATTTATTGAATTTATGGCATAAATTCGATAAATTGATTTTATTCAAAATGTATTTACTAGTATCATGAAAAGTATAAAAGCGATACTCTTTTTTCCTCAAATAAAAATAACTTTTTATAACTTTCGAGTACAGAACTTTGATAAGTTCAAGATAAACTAAGAACTAATACTTCAAAATTTGAGTAGAAGTTTGGTATTTGAAGTTTCCCATTGTTAAAACAAACCAAGATTCGTATTGTTTCATCTCCCCATTGTTAAGACAAATCACCCAAAAATAGTATTATTGATAACTCTTTGAATCTCATTGACAATTCGCCAACTAAGAATCAAATCACGTACTACATGATTAGAATTATCTATATAAGAAAAGCATCTCTAATCAAAGATTAAAACCAGGACAACTAAATCAAAGGCCTAAGAACAAAACAACACTTGCCTAAGAAAATCCTCTCTGCAACCTTAAAACCCAGACCAAATCCTCCACGCCCTCTTTTAGCCTTCCACTTAGGGTTGATTGTTAGATTTGTAGTGTTTGTTTGTTGATTTGTTGATCTATGAACCTTGGTGTGACCTAGCCTCTGGTCGAGTTCTGTTCCAGAACTAGTTCACACTTTCTCAACATTTATATACTGTAAAGGGCAATTTGATCATCTCAGATATACTACATTCCAACATAGTACAGACCTGATATGCACAATTTCTTCGATTTTTATAATTTTGTTAATCGGATTTATTATTGTTATTGTTTTAATTGTTAAAATTATCTTAAATGTTTTGATTTACATTATTGTTATTATTGGCTCTATTATTTTTATTATTTTTATTAATTCTTTCTTTATTATTATTTTTATCCTTTTTATTTTTCTTATTATTTTTATTATTTTTATTTTTCTATATATAAAAATTATCTATATAAAGCAATGTAAGTTGCCTCAAATAAAAATAACTTTTAGAGTTCAGATAAAACTCTAAGTTCTAAATCATCTAAGTATTAATACTTCAAAATTCGAGTAAAAGTATTAAGTATTAAAAGTCTCATTGTTCATAAACTGTGTTGAAAACTGAAACTAAAAACAATTACTTATAGATAGTGTAGTGATAACTCCCTGATCCAGATTTCCATTATTAAAAATACTTAAATTGATAAACTATACTTTGTGATAATCAAATTCTGACTAATTTTAACAATAATTAATTATCATGCATATAGTTTTATAGATAACTTGATTCTCATTGTTAGATTAACAACCAATCAAAGTGAAGCCCAAATCATGTACCCTGCAATCATCTGTAAAAATATAAAGAACACAAAAAGACTAAAACTGAAACAACTAAGAATAACGAAATACCTACTTCTACAAACTCTAAAATAATTCACAAGATCTCTAAAACTCAGACCAAATCTTCCACGCTGTCTTTCAGCCTACTAACTTAGGGTTGATTAGTAGATTTGTAGTGTTTGTTTGTGTTGATTTGTTGAACTACAAATATTGGTGTAACCATAAACTTCTGATTGAGTTTTATTCCAAAACCAGTTCACACCTTTTCAATTGGTAGTGACTGTAAGATTAGACTAAACTATTAAATAAGCAATCACAGCTTATCTCCCTATGATAAAATAATTTAAAAAGAATAAATTATAGAGGAATTCTTGAACTTTGAGGATGATAGTAGCCAAGGAGGGAGACAAACTCCAACTAGAGAGTGATTATATGAGGATTTAAGGCTATAACAAGAACCCAAAGATAATCAGGACAAGGAACTAAAGGAACTCAAAAACACTCAAGAACTCTTGTGCTAATTAGCTAAAATATTTAAGAAATTAACCAGAGATACCTCTAATAGAGAAACCAACTAGGTTCAGGTCAAAATGTTTAAAGGCAAAGAAGTTAAAGACCTAGTTGAGTGAGTTAAAGCTTTCGAAAGAGCTGCAGATGCTAACAATTAGAAGGGTGATAGAAGAATTAAGTTAGCATCTGGTTACCTATTAAAGATTGCAGCCTCTTGGTATAAAAATAGGAAATGTAATATCAAATTCTAGGATAATAATAGTTAATCTGATGCAAGCTTCATAAAAATCTTCATTCAATACTTCACCATCCCAGAAAAGAAACATAAGTGGCAAGTCGATCTCAACATTTTAATACAAGAAGAAGATGAACAAGTAGATTCTTATGTCTATAAATTCTAGAGGTTGCTATTTAAGATAGACCCCAATAACAACTTACTTGCATTCTATGTAGTAAGGATGTTTTTGAGCAGGCTACATAAAAAGACTGCTACCTATCGGTCAATAGCTGAATCTGATAGCTTAGATGAAGCTATCACAAGAGCCTGTAAAGTAGAAGCTAGTGACTACTATAAGAAAAAAGCAATCACTAAATCAGCCTATAGAGTAGAAAAAGAGATAGAAAACCTGAATAAGAAATTGCATCAGATGGTCTCCAATTATAAAAAGCTAACAACGACTCTTGCTGCAAGAGCTGAAGTCACTTCACTACTAACCCTAAATAGAACACAATATCTCTAGCTAAATAATCAAGGCATTGAATATTATAATTGTGAAGAACAAGGATACATAGCTAAGAACTATTTAGCCAAATATTATCTAATCACTAGGAAAAATCTGCTTTTGCCTAACTGAAATCTACAAAGACAAAGAGAAGTCAATTTTTGTGACTATTATGAAATGG